TATATATATATATCATTTTATATATTATATATATATATATATATATATATATATATATATATATATATATATATATATATATAATTATTTGCATGTGTAACCTAACGTGAATTTGTTTTCTGTAAATAAATATTTGCCGCGTTAAAGTGTCCATCATTCAGCCCCAGGAGCAGTGAAAGAATAACAGCGAATAAATTGCGCGGGGTTCTAATTCTATTTTTCTGTTGGAACGTTTTCGCGTTAGCCTCTTGAGCTGGTCCGTCTGCCGCACTCCAGCAGAAGTGCGTTTTTCGCGCCATCTGCTCCATAGCTTTTTTCTTAATCTGGTGGAAAAGCTGTGATTTTTCTCCAGGGGGGAATTTTATTCCATTATATTCTCTAAACGGCGTAAGGGGTTATCTTTCCTTGTCTTCTTGACGCGCGTTGTGAAGCGAGGTGTAAACGAGGAAAAACTATGATGCTTCAAACGTGTCAAAAATTAACTTTTTTTTGGGGGTTAATTATTGTAGGGAACAATTTGTGTTAAATTCTCACAAATACATATTATTGTATTTTGAAACGTTTGAATTTTTTTTTTGAGTAAAAAACAGAAATGTATGTTGATGAAAGATGAGTAGAGATCAATATGTTAAGCAATAAAACACATCTTAATATGGAAAAAAATTGTAGGTGCAAGCTTTGAACGTGAAAGTAGACAATGAATGAGAGCACTTTTGAGTAAAATGCTGTTTTTAAAAACAGCCACGAGAACTGAACATTTTCAAACTAAATCATCTACATTAAAGCATACGCAATATCTATATCAACCTACCCACTTTCTAACCTATTAACATAAGTCGTAGCCTTACAAAAATAAAAACAGGAAAAGTATCCTTTCTGACATTAGGGTCCATATAACAAAAATAGGTTGTTGTTTTCTATTTGACCTGGTGTTATAAATAGATCGTTAGTCGTCACGATGCCCCATCGATGTTACTTTCTTAGCCAAGTACCCATCATAGCTGAGTCGACTCAGTTACATATTACATGCCCCGGATTTAAACTCTAGATAATCTAAGAACCCTTGTGGATACCTTTCCACCGGTCAGCATGTTATGTCTGATATATGAGGGTGTATGTAAAGCCGTAACCTATATGTCCTTCTTCAACCTTTGTTGTGTACTTAACATAACATTATACATATAATTAAGGGGCTCAAATATTCCTATCGTGAGCCGCATATGGTCAAGGGACCGGAAGTCACAAATCCTTGGGTTAGAGAGATGATAACCAAGAATTAGGTCACTGTCCGAAATTACTTATTGACCTACATCTGATTACAGCCGACATACCGGAAGTAGTCCGAGCAAGATTCCTCTCCCCGTTGATACAGTGCTCTAAGGAAGTCTAGAGGACATTGTCCTGCTGTTCTTGAAGTGGAGAATTGTTATGTCGGTAGAGGATGGGGGGGGGGGGGTGGATAAGGACGGAGGAAGGGTGGCTAGGAGGCAATGGGGAGGTGACAGTGAAGGACGTTGTGAAGGGAATGAGAGAAGACGGTTTAAGGATAGTGATTGGGGGGGGGGGGGAGATGGAGGAATGGTGAGAGGAAAGATGGATTGGAGGCAGAGGGAGGTGACGGTGAAGGACGTTGAAATGGGAAAGAAAGAGGGAAGATGGTTTAAAGAGGGGAATGGGGGGGGGGGAGACGGAGAGTTAAAGACGTTGATGGGGGTAGGATACGGAGAGTTAAAGACGTTGATGGGGGTAAGATACGGAGAGTTAAAGACGTTGATGGGGGTAAGATACGGAGAGTTAAAGACTTTGATGGGGGTAAGATACGGAGAGTTAAAGACGTTGATGGGGGTAAGATACGGAGAGTTAAAGACGTTGATGGGGGTAGGATACGGAGAGTTAAAGACGTTGATGGGGGTAGGATACGGAGAGTTAAAGACTTTGATGGGGGTAAGATACGGAGAGTTAAAGACGTTGATGGGGGTAAGATACGGAGAGTTAAAGACTTTGATGGGGGTAAGATACGGAGAGTTAAAGACTTTGATGGGGGTAAGATACGGAGAGTTAAAGACGTTGATGGGGGTAGGATACGGAGAGTTAAAGACGTTGATGGGGGTAAGATACGGAGAGTTAAAGACTTTGATGGGGGTAGGATACGGAGAGTTAAAGACTTTGATGGGGGTAGGATACGGAGAGTTAAAGACGTTGATGGGGGTAAGATACGGAGAGTTAAAGACTTTGATGGGGGTAGGATACGGAGAGTTAAAGACTTTGATGGGGGTAGGATACGGAGAGTTAAAGACGTTGATGGCTTTTGCGAATGAGGATGTATCAAAGATGGTGGAGGGGAGGAGGGAGGGATGATGGTCAAGGACGGACGGATGTACGGGTGGGATAAACAGTCGATTCTTCTGTAGGAAGGCTTTGGATGGATGAACTCCGAAACTAAAGTTGTCTGGAGACGAGTGACGTCATCACATGCGCGGAGAGAGCAAATTAGATTTTTTTTTTAAAGTCTGTTGTAAGATAAGTTGTGAAGAAGGTCGTACTTTAATGGTCGAGTAGAAAAAAAGGGACACAATCCTATGGGGATTAGAGATAATCAACAAAATGGGAAACAACTCTATCGTGTAACACTAGAAAACGAATAATCGGGATAAAAATTCCTAAAAGAAAAACAACAGATGTAAGCAGAAACTAAAGATTATAACAGCAAACACTTTAATTACTTTTGTTATTAATTAACGGCCAGATTTGGTTATAATCGGACATGTTTCTTAATCACCCTCCGGCCATTACAAGCCTCTCCTTGTCAACCGTATCCAACATTCGGGCATCACGTGACGATACCACATTATTCCACTACATTTTTTATCGACTACACCCACCCCCCACCCCCACCCCACACAATCCTTGACCTGCAGGTCACCCCTATAAGATGACCAATTTGTGGAGCAACAGAGACTGGAAGTGTCTTTGTGGAGTCTGGCACCACTCCGTCAGTTCTGTGACTAACTAGGTCACTCCATCTAGCCTGGACTGTTGCCATACGAATCGTGTTCAGAACGTTATGTTTTCTTTAAAGCTTGGAACATCTCTTACATAACAGAAAACACGACATATATATATATATATATATATATATATATATATATATATATATATATATAGTTAGTAGAAACTTCTATGACACGAGATCTATAACTAGTGAATAGAGGGTTAAACATGAATAGTTTCTATTCCAACATCAACACCAACATCCTCATACAGTTCAACATCCTCATAAAACACACAGTAGTATCAACATAAACCAACATGACATTTCAACATTTATCAAAATACACGATAGTCTTTCGGGTACATATAATCAAGATTTCATTGAACAATTTTAGTTAGCAAATAAAAGTGATTGTATGTATAGTGACACATAATTACATACAAAATATGTATGTAATCTGCTATGGCTTAATAATGTATGAGCTTTACATCAACTACCCAGTATGACAATACATAACATTAAACTTTTTATGAAACTAAATTAAATTTTAAAAATATTCTTAGTTACGAAAATAACATCACAAAAAATACTTTCAATAGCTTTAAGTACAAAAATAAAACACCCGCTAAAGTACTAGTCTTTTTTTTTAACCTATCCCTAATGAAAACTAATTGTTTACGGCCATTCCCCAAAGTTCAGCTTTAACAAGCACACACTACGGTAAAAGACAACAGTATATTTACACCCACTAACGACCCATCCCAACCCCCATTGGCGTGCTAGTGAAAGTAGATCGCTTCGATTCCTAGAGGCCAACTTTATTACTTTTAATACCGTTACAAATTACTATCTCTCTCTCTAACTCTCTCTCTCCCTCCCCTCTCTCTCCCTCTCTCTCTCTCTCCCTCTCTCTCTCTCTTTCTCTCTCTTTCTATCTCTCTCCCTCTCTCTCTCTCCATCTCTCTCCCTCTCTTTCTCTCCATCTCTCCCCCTCTCCCTCTCTCTCCATCTCTCTCTCTCTCTGTAGTTTTAATTACCTGCAGAGCCCAATAGCGTTGATTCTTGACCCAATCTTAGCCATTAATTACTCAGGCAGCGAGAAACAACGTAATCAACTAGCTGGCAGGGGCAAGTAAGAAGATTGCTCTCAAGGGGAGACAAATAATGTCAGACCTACCAGATTATCTACCCTTCCTGCTTGTTTGTTTTAGTAGGAATATATTAAAATCGCGGTTTGTCGTTTTGCTTTTTTTTTAAAGGGGGCGTGGGGGAGGTTGTTTTGGTTTTTCTATTTTTTCAGGGTTTTTTTTTCAAGAAGAAATTTTGGGAGATTAAATGATACATGTTTTTTTAAAAAAAAGATTGACATTTTTTTTTTACATGTGTGTAGGCGTAAGATTGATTGATTAGAAATGCTGATGGTTATATTGGGATAGATCGAACAATGATTTTTAAATCGATTTACACAGATAATCAGTAGTTGATCTAACTTGCTATGAGATTTAATTTTTTTTAAAGTACTATTACACTAATTTTTTCAAAAGCTGTATCAAATGGTGTTATAATAATGTCAGTAGCAACGACGCAAAGTGATATTGTTGGGAAATACAATGCGTCATGACAATGAGTTTTAATTATTTAAGTATCATTACATTGAAATAACATAATTAGTGTTACCGGTCAGTTAAATTAGCGAAAGTAGCAACAAATTAAACGTATATTAATAGTACGTTACGTTTTTAATTAATTACAGGTAAGTAGTCCAGAGGCGTTGCAAGGGTAGGGCGGGTGGGGCGGTCGCCCCAGGCAAAAATGTATAATTCGCCCCGGGCCCCAGAACGTGTCGCAACGCCTCTTGAGTAGTCACGTGCTGGCGTAATGACTGTGATAGTAAATTAAGTAGACCACCTGGGCTAATTAACTACTTCAAAATGTGTCATCTATATCGGATTTTTAAAAAAAACATATCTCCGAAGCAACATTCAAATGGACTGAAATAACATTTTCATTATGTGATGTATTCTACAAACAAGATGTACATGTAAACAAATAGCAACATATTCATTACAATTTACAAGTTATTGACATATACACAAATAGCATGTTCATTCAATGTGTACAGGTTTATATGTAGATTCCGTTTGTAAGTTTGTTGGTAGATAATACTCTCATAATAGTCTTACATGTTATGTGTTTTGTTTAGTACATAATGTGTTGGCATTGTATGTACATCTTATGGCTGCTGTTAAAACGTGTTAATTGCATGAATAAATATAAAAGTTAGAATCTAAAAAATGCACTTACCTTTTCGGTAAAGACAAATAGAAGATAGTAAGTCAGATGGATATCAATGACATTATGTTAAACAGTAAGTGTGGAGTATTATGAGTAGTATTCAGATGTGTATGGTGTTTTAGCAGCCAAAACTGAAGGGGTGGTTTAGTGTTCAAAGGTGTTTGGTAAAAAAAAATTAAGTTGTGTCGTACGTATTAAATCCTAGTGTACATTGTGACTCTCGTTAGTAGGTGGTAAAGTTCATTACGCTTTACTCGCAATTTGGGTTATCAATTTATTAGTATTAGTAATAAAAAAATTGTACACGTTACGTTAGATTATAAAACAGGCTAAGTTGGATTTCGTTATCTCAAAAGAAATGAGGATCTACCTGGTCAAGCGATGTCGCAACGTACCCCCCCCCCCCGCCGTCCCCATTAAGTCCAAACTGTCCTTACGTTAGGTGAAGTAGAGTTTATGTAATCCATCCCTTTTTAGATAAGGCAGTCAATACAGTAGGTATAACAGACTTTCAAAGAACGCACTAGGCGTGGTCAGGGTTAGATGTTCCCAGACGCGTAGCGACCCATTCCGGGGCCGGGGGCGAGGTAACTATCGATTTTTGTCCCCCCTCCTCCCACCGCTTTATGTAATTATAGTTATTAAAATAGTGAAAAAAGCTGTATACCAGTCACTTTCCCCTTTGTGTCACACAATCGTTACAGAAAACAGTTAAATAAACCCGTAAAGTCAAGTTCTTTGACTAATAATTCAGTTATTGCAACTCAGAAAATGCTTTTTATTTATTTATTTTCCACCACGTTAGGCACCCCCCCCCCCCGCCCACCCACTAAGATTAAGGCCCGGGGCGGCCACCCCCTCCCGCCATCCCTTAGCCACGCCTCTGGAAGTTCGGCATGGCGCGTCTGAGACCTTCGGTACGAAAGATTGGAACAATGGAGTTAACCTATACGTCACATTCTCTATGACCTACCCATTTATCATAAGACTGCTCCATGCAAATGCGAAGCAGTTTCGGTCAGGTACACTAGGATCTAACCGCGACCAGTTGCCTTGAGACTTACTGGCTTTGTCGTTGCCGATTTCCGGGACCATGTTCTCAAGCATCTCGCCGATCTTCTCGAACTTGAAGTACGTGGTCGGCTTGCCCAAGGCGGTAAGCTCGAAGTGGAGAGCTTCGCCAGCAAAGTGGCAATATCGGTTCTCTAGGCCGTCCGGTTGGTAGAGAATCTTTGTGGTGCTCCATTCGTACCGCTCCATCTGCGAGTTGAAAGGAGTTTGTTTTTAATTTCTCGTATACGAAATATTGTTATCATGCATAAAATCATCCTGAGTCGGAAAAACTTAGTTTTGCAACTTTGTCTGTATGTCTGTGTGTGTGTGTCTGTGTCTGAAGCTAGGCGTAGAAACAAATAACAGCCATATTGTTTTCTTGTTTCTGTTAGACAAATTTTGTGACTGAAACCCAAGTAGGTGTTGCTATAATAGACCGAGACACACTTTTTAGTTTATACTAGAATACCCGTCATCCGTTGGATAACTGTGGGTTTCGGGGGTCATCCATAAAAAAACATCACGTCTGTCACTCAGAGGCATAGCGACCCTTCCCGGCGCCCGGGGACAAACTTTTCGATTTTAACCCCCACCCCCCCAAGATTTCGATTTTCAACCCCCCCCCCCTCAAACTTTTGATGTGCACCCCCCCCCCCCCCACTCAAACTTTCGATTTGAACCCCCCTCAACCTTTCAATTTATTTTTCCAAACCATTTTGGCGCCCCAACATATGTCCCCCCCGCCCCCCCCCCTTCCCCCCTCCACCTCCCCCCGCCTCCCCTTCCCCCCCCCCCCCCCGCCTCCCCCTCCCGCCCCCCCCCCCCCCTCCTCGCTACGCTACTGCAGTGTCACTTATCGTCACAAAAAACAGACCCCACATTCAAAAATATGTTTCTTATCTTTTAAAAACACAGAAAACACCGATTTCGGACTATCCCTTCATATACTGACGTCACATGTGACCTACTCAACTCTACTTCACCTGCCCAGTGTCCCGCCAAGTCTCAGACAACATGTTTTTATCGTTTAAAAAACGATTCCAGCCGAGCATGTCTTTGACCACACTATCCTTTCATATGCTTAGGACAAAGAAACAGATGAACTCTACTTCACCTGCCCTGTATCCTGCCAAGTTCAGATAGGCAACTTTATCATTCACATCTAAAAAAAAAATTGAAAAAAAATATCATTGACATATTGGTCTAGAACCTGTGCCACCCACATGAGAGCGGGCTACGCTACCAACTTAGCTATTCACTCGTGACGTCACAAATGAATTTTTATACTATACTTTTGAGTCTCCGCGCATAGATCTAGATCTAAGTCTAGTAGTAGTAACTTTCAAATTAAATTTAATCTTAAATTAGCCAAACAAAGATTTATATAAAATAATTAAGGCCTGAAATGGATTCTAGATGTATTAAGGCCTGAAATAGATTCTAGATGTAGAATTTACATTAAGTCTAGTAGTGACCTAGATCTAGGCTAGATCTAGGCTAGATTCATAACTTTCCTTCGACAGCTGATCTTTAGATCTAGAGAAATTTATCGTAAAACTAAATGAAAAAGACAGTTGAAAATTGATATAAGTGTTGGAACGTAATAAATACAGCAAACGGACGTATTGTTTAAGTTATAGCCGGCAGAAAATTAGCTTTGTAACGCGTTAAACTTTTGAATGGGCCACAAAGTCTATGATGGGGTCCGCCATTTTTATTGAACCAAAAAGTAAACACATCAAGGGACGTCACTATCCCCACAAAGTTTATTCAAAGTATTAACATTTTTAAAAAAATACGGTTAATTTAACTATGAATAAATCAATAAATTAATTAACGTCTTTAAATAAATTTGTGATTAACAGTCTGTCTTAAAACAAAATTTTTTCTCTACCTACATACTATTTTACAGCTTTCCACGATGAGTGCAACCATGCGAGATAGTCGATCAGGCAAACAAACAAACAAACAAAAAAATAAATATTCAAACATGTAAACAAACTTGACTTTTAGTAGTATACTAGACTACCCGTCATCCCTTGGATAACTGTGGGTTTCGGGGGTCATCCATCAAAAAACATCACGTCTGTCACTCAGAGGCATAGCGACCCTTCCCGGCGCCAGGGGACAAACTTTTCGATTTGAACCCCCCCCCCCCCGCAAGATTTCGATTTGCAACCCCCCCCCCCCCCTCAAACTTTTGATGTGCACCCCCCCCCCCCCACTCAAACTTTCGATTTGCACCCCCCTCAACCTTTCAATTTATTTTTCCAAACCATTTTGGCGTCCCAACATATGTCCCCCCCCCCCCCCGCCCCCTTCCCCCCTCCACCTCCCCCCGCCTCCCCTCCCCCTCCCGCCCCCCTCCTCGCTACGCTACTGCAGTGTCACTTATCGTCACAAAAAACAGACCCCACATTCAAAAATGTTTTTTTATCTTTTAAAAACACCGAAAACACCGATTTCGGACTATCCCTTCATATACTGACGTCACAGGTGACCTACTCAACTCTACTTCACCTGCCCAGTGTCCCGCCAAGTCTCAGACGACATGTTTTTATCGTTTAAAAAACGATTCCAGCCGCGCATGTCTCTGACCACACTATCCTTTCATATGCTTAGGACAAAGAAACAGATGAACTCTACTTCACCTGCCCTGTATCCTGCCAAGTTCAGATAGGCAACTTTCATTCACATCTAAAAAAAAAAAAAATTGAAAAAAAAAAGATCATTGACATATTGGTCTAGAACCTGTGCCACCCACATGAGAGCGGACTACGCTATCAACTTAGCTATTTACTCGTGACGTAACTAATGAATTTTTATACTATACTTTTGAGTCTCCGCGCATAGATCTAGATATTAGGCTAGTAGTAGTAACTTTCAAATTAAATTTAATCTTAAATTAGCCAAACAAAGATTTATATAAAATAAAGAAGTTCTGAAATTAGCTAGATCTAGATAATTCTATCTAGATCTATATTCTAGGACTCGCTTGCTTAGGTCTTAAGTTTAGTTTTTCTTGCTAGATCTAGATCTAGATCTAATCATTAGCTACGCTGATAGGCCCGGAGCGAGCATTTCAAAATTACCATATTCCAAACAAAGATTTATATAAAATAATAAAGGTCTAAGATAGTTTAGTATATAGAAAATCATTATTATCTAAATCTAGATAGAATTATCTATATTTTAGATATACGACTGAGCTATATCTAGAGTTTACGTCTATAATTTTGCACACATAGTGGTATAGAAGCCGCGTATGAATCTTAAGCTACGCAAATAGATCTAGGCCCTGACTCCAGCACTTCAAAATTTGCATAGGGGCCTAGTCAAAACAAAGATTTATACAAAACAATAAAGGTCTAAAATATTTTAGTATATAGAAACTCATTATTATCTAAATCTAGATAGAATTATCTATATTCTAGATCTACGACTGGTTTGCTTAAGTCTCGTTTTTTTGGATTGTATTTATAACTAATAAATCTATGATTTGACCTAGATTCTAGATTCTAGATCTAGATCTAAAAATAACTTTTCTTCGACAGCTGATCTTTAGATCTAGAGAAATTTATTGTAAAACTAAATAAAAAGGCAGTTGAAAATTGATATAAGTGTTGGAACGTAATAAATACAGCAAACGGACGTATTGTTTAAGTTATAGCCGGCAGAAAATTAGCTTTGTAACGCGTTAAACTTTTGAATGGGCCACAAAGTCTATGATGGAGTCTGCCATTTTTATTGTACCAAAAATGTAAACACATCAAGGGACGTCATATCCCCACAAAGTTTATTCAAAGTATTAACATTTTTAAAAAAATACGGTTAATTTACCTATGAATAAATCAATAAATTAATTAACGTCTTTAAATAAATTTGTGATTAACAGTCTGTCTTAAAACAAAAATTTTTCTCTACCTACATACTATTTTACAGCTTTCCACGATGAGTGCAACCATGCGAGATAGTCGATCAGGCAAACAAAAAAACAAACAAAAAAACAAACAAAAAAATAAATATTCAAACATGTAAACAAACTTGACTTTTAGTAGTATATAGACTATTTGAAGCGTCTCTTTCATTACAAAACTAGTTTATAACTATAACGAAACAACGTCCATTGACTGAAGGGGTGAGAGTGGAGAGGGAGGGGGGGGGGGGGTTACCGATCCGTAGAACTTACGATGGTATAGAGTCCCTGTACTAGTTGTATCAATGTGCTCCAGACTAGCGTTAGAGTCTTGTAGGCGGACCCCTTTAGGTTGGAAAAGTCCCGGGCAGCGGCCGTAGTGATGACCGGCAGTTTCCAGTACCTGAAAGCATGATATAATGTATATTAATAGATATATAAACAAACCGGAATTTTACGGTAAATAAATAATAATATGAAAACATACAGCTTTGAACAGAGCAGCCTTTCTCGTTATATAAAAACTATCTAAAATTATAACAGCGTTCATGTATATCTATGAATAGACCGTCAAATTTCCCGAAAGTAAATATGGTGACGTTCAAATACATCAATGAATAGACGTTCAACGTAGGTAATACGTGCTTAGTTGAATGTATTGTATACTTATTTAAATTCACTTTACTTTGGGTATCAAGAAGTTTTTTATTTTATTTCCAAACTGTCGTTCAATTTGGAGTCAAACTATTGAGCTTGGTCGGTTTTTGAGCAAGAGACACAACTAAATGTATCTGGCCAGTGGTGATACAGGCACGACAAACTTTTGTGGAATTTGTGACTACCGATTTAACTCTACACGACTGACCTAACCTCTTAGGGTGGGCTATAGGCTGGACTCATATGACCTGGCCCGGGTGGCTATTGGCACGCTAGAATGGGTATGGCCAAACGATCTATTAACACAACTGATTTTACACGTAGGATATTAGCGTGACTGTATTAGTATGATTGGCTATTGGCACAACTGATCTGGTATGTCGGCTAATTGACAGGGCAGAGCTGGTCTGACGAGCTATTGGCACGACAGAACTGACCTGGCCCGACGAGCTATTAACACAACTGATTTGACATGCCAGGCTATTGGCACACTATAACAGACATGGCTTGACGAGCTATTCACACAGCTGAATTGACGTGGCGGACTATTGACACAACTGATTTTATCCGTCTGTCTATTGACACAACTGATTTGATCTGTCTATTGGCGCGACTGAACTGACCTGGCCTGTCTAGCTACCGGCGCCAGAGCATATTCACAGCTAGGCCCGAGCAAGACGTGGGGCCTTCTGTTGATGTAGAACGTGATGGCCTCGTTCATCGCCTCGTTGGCGGCGCAGTGGGTGTCAGCGTGGAGGATTTCAATACGGCGCCCCTCTAGTGGACCACCTGGTTGGCACACCTGTTGTGAAGAGAGAAGGTAGGGGGGGGGAAGATACAAGTCGTAACTGACGCATGCAATTTAAAAAAACAAACTAGAAAAGTTACATTTCTCCATTAATTTCGTCAAAACATTTACCATATTAGTGTATTTTTTTTTACATTTAGTCATTTTATCATTAGCATATTTTTAGAACGTAATGTTTTTTGTTTTTTTTTTAAATTCAAACGCGATTATCTTCCATTATGTAGTTTATACACAGTAAAAATATTAGAGTTTTGTTAGTTATTTTACCTTTTCAGCAGCTGATGTATTTTATACACAATTAAAATATTAGAGTTTTGTTAGTTATTTTACCTTTTCAGCAGCTGATGTATTTTATACACAATTAAAATATTAGAGTTTTGTTAGTTGTTTTACCTTTTCAGCAGTTGATGTATTTTATACACAATTTAAAAAATAGAGTTCTGTTTAGTCGTTTTACCTTTTCAGCAGCTATTAGTATAGCAGGGAGAACTCTTTTCATCGAGAACGTGTAGCTCTCGTTCATCGGGAGTAGCGTCACCATGGTTACCTGACCATCGGTGGGCTCGGTGCCGGCAATCGAGTTGACCAGGAACTGGGTGACCCAGAGGATGAGCATCGTAGACCCCATCGATGCGCCGTTTACATTAGCTTAGCTGTGTTCTCATTGGTCCGTGGGTAGACGTAAAAACAGGAGGTCTGAGAAAAGAAAGGTTAAAGCAAATGTCAATGTGTTGTTCTGTTTTAGTGTTTCTGTTTATGTTTCATTTGAAACGCCGGCATAATAAAAAAACAATTGTATCAATTATGTTTTCTTCTCATTTCAAGGCAGGAGTACTGTAACGCACATACACACAATCATATATGTATATATATATATATATATATATATATATATGTGTGTGTGTGTGTGTGTGTCTGTGTGTGTGTCTGAGTAAAAGTAAAATGAAGCTACTATTTGTGACCTATCGGGCAAGTAAATTATAGTTCACCGGTTTTCGTTATACGGCATATGAATATATATTATTGTATAAGTATTTTACACTTATAAACAAAAATAATGCATGTAAATATACCTATATTACGTACAAGCCTATAGACATGGACAAAAATAGAGATTTCACAATGACAAATGGCCATAGAGTCTTCTTTACTATTACTGTGTGAAAAGGCTAAATGTCACCCTAATGTCATGTGTAAGCTTTTAATCGCCACACGATTTGATATACTGTTGGCATCAATGACCTTCATCCAAATTCCATAGAATGGTCAGACAGACCAGACCAGCAGTGACAGACTTAACAAAGGTCACTTTTAGGTCCGTGTTGACCCCAAAATTAGTCGTCTGATGGCGTCTCTCGGCCGATTACGAGGGAGAAATTTCACGCGGGATGAAATAACAAAGTGTGCACTGATGATGTGAGCATTTATGGATCTTCCAGAGAGTTGAATGTCGAGGGCTGGCTCAGATTCAACTAATTAAACTATTTTTAAAGTGTAGTCTTTTGAATATATTTTCTTATTAAAAAAAAACAAAAAGATATTACATTTGTTTTAATAAATATATTTTGAATTGCATGTATAGTGTGGAAGAGCTTAACTAACATCGAACTCAGAAGGGGATGTTGGAAGCATTTCTGAGTGAAGTGGTAATTTTGTTTATATTTTCACATTGATATTGGTGAATCTAGTAACCACAGATATAGCGGAAATATGTATTGACAAAATCCATCCCCCCCCCCCCCAGGAACCGTTTATCTGATGGCCATCTCTACTCCCCCACAACTTTTACTCCACCCCCCTCCCCACCCCCCTACTTCATAACAGGCATCCTTCAGCAGCCGGTGAGAGATGATCGACCATTGGTATATCATGTCATTTCATCATTCACCACACGAAACCCTCTAGCCAAAGTAGTTATGATCACTATCATTTACCATAGGCGGGTTCTCGATTGGGCCCCGTAACCGAGTCATAGTGAGCCTCTTTACACTACGCCACTGGTTCCCCCCACTTTGATCTATCGTTGATGGTAAAAAAGAATTTCCCTCCTGCTGCTTCATCCTATATATCCTCATGCCGCCGTGTTTATTTAAATCATTTATTTATATCTCTCGCCATCATATTAGCTCTTCAACCAACACACACAACTCACACAAGCAAACGTCCTCCGACTAGTTTATCTGACTAGCCATCGTTCATGTATTGGCTATTCCCAAACCACTCAAAAACAAGTTTTTTCCTAAGCAGAGTAAGGTTTATAAGACTAGCCGTACTTCATTGATTGCCTCCCTCCCCTTCCCTAACGCAACCACTGCCCCCCCCCCCCCCCCCACCATTCCCTAACGCCACTACACACAGTTCCCACAAGCAAGTCTCCCCCTAGCTAAGTTTTCCTGCTTTTTAATTCCCCCCCCCCTCCCCACCACTCACAATTCACAGAAGAAACCCTATGGCTAGCCAGAGAACTGTTTTCTGACTAGCCATCATTCACTCATTGCATCCTCCACTTCACCAAACAATTCACACAATTCACACAAATCACACAATTCACACAAGCAAGCCTTTCTCTAGTCAGATAATTCTTTTCTGATAAGCCATGGTTCACTCATTGTCTCCTTCCTCGTCACCACACAATTCACACAAGCAAGTCTCCCCCTAGCCCTGGCCACCAGACTAGCCATCGTTCACTTTCTTTACGTCACTTCAAGGATAGTTTTCCCATTTTAAATACACTTTTGATTCTGCTCAGTTGGGTGTCTTGTTATAACTTGTTTTGCCCTTGTTTTTTGTTTTTTTTGCACCGCTTCCAATCAGGGAACGGTTTGTCAATAATTCAAAACATTTCCCTTAATAACATCTTTCATTTCGGTCTGTTTACATTTTTTTACCACTTTTTTTGTCAACTAGCCCATGTTGTTTTATAAATATTTATAGGTACGCCATCACAACACCGGAAAAAAACGCATGTTTTTTTAAAGTAAATGAGAGTATTTATAAGAACTTAAGTGCATTCTGAACAGTAAATTTACTGAAACTGAAATTTTTTAATTAAAGGTTACGCACACATTTCAAGTAAATTTGCCTTTTCAAAGCTAACTACCCCTAGGGCAGATAAAGTAGAACTTATGTGTTTCTGGTTCTCCGCATATGAAGGAACGATGTTGTCAGAATTACCCAACCCCACTTTACTTCCTCTAACATGAAACAAAATATGGATCGAGATCCGAAATCGAGACTTACGTATTAGATGTAGAGCGCTCTATCACTCGTACTTAACCGTCCGAATCACACATATTTACGACATAAAATTAAACTTCATCTGCCATTGTTTGTGTCTTCTAAATTGGAATCGATCCTAGACTTTAATAACTTTTCTCGTAACCTTCGAATGTTTATAAAGAGTAAACGTAAATGGTGGCCGGAAAGAACCGCAACGGAAAAAAGTGCAACGGAAAAAAGCGCAAAACAAAAAGCGCAACGGAAAAAAGCGCAAAGAGAAAAAAGCGCAAAAGAAAAAAGCGCACACAGAAAAAAGCGCAAACGGAAAAAAGCGCAAACAGAAAAAAGCGCAAACAGAAAAAAGCGCAAACGGAAAAAAGCGCAAACAGAAAAAAGCGCACACAGAAAAAAGCGCAAACGGAAAAAAGCGCAAACGGAAAAAAGCGAAAACAGAAAAAAGCGCAAACGGAAAAAAGCGCAAACAGAAAAAAGCGCACACAGAAAAAAGCGCAAACAGAAAAAAGCGCAAACGGAAAAAAGCGCAAACAGAAAAAAGCGCACACAGAAAAAAGCGCAAACGGAAAAAAGCGCAAACAGAAAAATGCGCAACCAGAAAAAAACAACGAAAAATGTGCAAAAGAGAAATTTAGCACAAATACCTATATCGACTAGATGACACATTTAAACATGACAGTTAGGGCTGCTGTGAGAGTGTCGTGTTTGATCACGTGATTTACTACCATTTAAAGCGTACCACTACCATGTTCATTCCCCTCACCACGATACATGCAATAATCGCTTTACACAATGCCTATTATTTTCTTGGTCAATAATTATTCAACTACTATTCTCGTATATCCGCGTCATCTAACATGCATTCGTCATATCTCTTATATCTCTCGCAACAACATTCATTCGCACCAAAATAACAATTATGTATTTAATATTATTTCACATCATGACGCACTTACCTACCTACCTACTACCTACCTACCTACCCACCCAGCCACTTACCCACTTACCCACTTACCCACTTACCCACCTACCCACCTACCCGCCTACCCACTTACCCTCCTACCCACCGAAAAAGGATCGGCGAAGTTCGTTAGTTTCGTAAACTGTACTTTTTTTTTAATGAAAATTCATTGACATCATTGACATATGTTACATATATGTTACATTTTGCGACAATCTTAATTAGAGCGTTGGGCTTGTATGAAAACTCACTTCGAACTAACTCAATTACATGCTATTTATTTTAACATTACACGGTAAGCGTCACTCAACTGTTGTGATGTGAGGTGAGGACAGGTTCGACAATAAACCAACACGAAAGTACAAAGGAGACATTGATGCCTGTTAAAGAATGGACCCCCTAACTTTCCTAACCCCACCATTTATTACACCCTACCTAACCTCTAAATTTCTTGCGCTATATGTCACTTCCCTCCCAATCGTTCCTATTCTACAGAATGGTGTGTACTATATATTTACATTCTTTAATCTCAATATAACTAAAATAGACTATTGTTTGAAGGGTAATGAAAACATGTAAACATGCACTTTTACTCGTGTCCGCCCCCCCCCCCCCCCGAAAATGTTGACCCCCCCCTGAAAATCCCCTCCCCCCCCCCCCCCCCTTAGCCCCGGAGAAAAAAGTCTGGAAGAAACACTGCATGTAGCCTATATAACAGAAGAGCTATTGTTGTTTATATCATTTTGCGTTCGTCCGGTAAACCTTTCAGTAAAAACCTTTAAAAACCTTCCAAAACCTTTTTATAAAGAAACAAAGAGAGATGAAGTTTTATAATAACATCAGGCTTTGACTTACACCTACTCCAATATCATCTACATTGTTAAACTGATTAACTATGTAATGTAGGGCTCAACAGGATCAATGAACTAACCTTACGCCAAACCAGTTTGAAATTTCGAGTTTTGTAACACTGTTACTAAGCTAGCAAAATGGAAATGTGCATAATCTATATCATCTACACAAACACCCAACCACCTACCTAACTACCCACCCACACAATCACCCACATACCCACCTAACAACCTACCTACCCACCCACTCACCCACCTACCCATATGCACATGGTAGTGGTACGCTTTAAATGGTAGTAGATCACGTGATCAAACACGACACTCTTACAGCAGCCCTACCAGTCATGTATAAATGTGTCATCTAGTCGATATAGGTATTTGTGCTAAATTTCCATTTTGCACATTTTTCGTTGTTTTTTTCTGGTTGCGCATTTTTCTGTTTGCGCTTTTTTCCGTTTGCGCTTTTTTCTGTTTGCGCTTTTTTCTGTTTGCGCTTTTTTCCGTTTGCGCTTTTTTCTGTTTGCGCTTTTTTCTGTGTGCGCTTTTTTCTGTGTGCGCTTTTTTCCGTTTGCGCTTTTTTCTGTTTGCGCTTTTTTCCGTTTGCGCTTTTCTCCGTTTGCGCTTTTTTCT